ACACACACACACACACACACGCACAAACACAAACTCAAACACACACATATACACACACAAAACAACTCAAAACAATAACAACGAAACCGAACAAACATTACAAAACTGTCGAGAAAAATTCAACTCATTCATTAGTTCAGAAGGATGCAAGATGGAGGAAGAAAAAACAAACAAACAAGCATTGGAGAAGTAGCATCTTCTCTTTGACCCACAATACGGCCAACTCACGGAGAAGAAAAAACCGCTCCAAATTCTATCGTTCTGAATAGCATCATCACAGTGTAGTCATCAACACTAAAAACAAACAAACAAAACAAATAAAAACACCCTCTTTAAAAAACAACAACCCCAAAACCCCCAAGAACAACAATATTATCAACAATTAATATAAAAATGAATTTAATCATCATAAGGATGTTAATGATAATAACAATATTAATAACAACAAAAATGCACATGAATAAATGAAGAAATAAATAAATAAATGAATGAATAAATAAATAAATAAATGAATAAATAAATAACTAAGATAACACGATTTCTAAAAAGTAAGGTAACAACGAAACCAAACACAAGACAGTCAAAGCAAGCCCCCTACCTGTCTTGAGCTGTGTTGCGGCCGCCGACCGTTGCCCCTCATGGACCTGACGAGGGCGTTATGTTTCTGCAGAGCCACGTCGATCACCTCGTCCGGACCGCCCACTTCCTCCATGGCTCTCATGCCGCTACTCGTCAAACCGTGCTGCTGACTCAAAGAACTCCCCGCTCGGGAATGGGCGGGGTTTGTCACATTAGCAAACCCTGTGGTGGGAGTGGTTAGCACCGGAAGCACGCCAGCAGTTCTAAAAGGGGCGGGGTTAGGGAGGAGCATGGCGCTGCTGGAGTCTAAAGAGACGGGCACTGGAGAGTGCTGATATGTCTCGGGTGTGTGTCCGAACGTACTGAACGCCATGTCCACGTGATCGTCGCCCAGACATTCGGACGGCACGGAAGAGTCTGAGGTTCGAACCTCACTATCAAAAGTCACTGATTTTTTGCCGCCGTTTCTGACGACACCGCCGGTGAAGCCTCCCCCTCCACCACCACCAGCACCACCATTTCCGTTCCCCATTGGGGATTGCGGGTGTTGATAATGCGCTGAGCTTTGCTGTTGGGAAGAAAAAGATGGCGGCTGCTTCTGCAAAGACGGGCTGACGATAAGCCCATTTTCCATTACGTCATCTCCGCTTCCGGCGCGCTCGTACGAGTCCGGCGACGCCACGGATGTCTGATGAAGTTTCTGCTTACCCGGATCGTTCTTCCTGTCTGCGTCGAACTTTTTTTTGTCGATGTACTTGATAAAGCACAAAGTGACGAGAACGACCACTGCTACGACCAGCGTGAAGCAGACCATGATGATGACGATGGTGATGTTGGAGTCGGAATCCCGCGAATGCTCGAGGGCTTGGACGACCTCCACTTGGAGCAGCGCCCGCGTGGCGCGTTGTTGGTGAGCGCCGTGGTCGTGTACGCTGATGACCACGTTGTAGACGCGCACGTCTTCAGGGGTCAAGGGTACGGCCAAGGTCATCAGGCCGGTGTCCTCGTTGATCCAGAAGAGCCGCGAGGCGGCTGACGCGTTGCCGTGAGAGTTGAGAGAAAACGTCAGCCGTCCGTTCTCCCCAGCGTCCTGGTCTGTCGCGATGACCTTGATGATCTCGTGACCCGGGGTCACGTCCAGGTTCAAGGTCACGCTTAGGTTGTCTGCGGTGGGGAAAGCGATCACGGGCGCGTTGTCGTTCTCGTCTAGGATTGTAATCTGGACGTCGACAGAGGAGTTTCTGGGCGGTATGCCGAGGTCAAAAGCGGTGACAACGAAATTATACTGGCTTTCCATCTCGCGGTCTAGAGGCTTGGTGAGGGTGATACTTCCGTCAGAGACAGAGACAGCAAAAGGCGGGTCAGGGTGCCGAACAGAATGTACAAGCAAGTACTGCACCACACCGCCTTGGTTCAAATCCTTATCGGTAGCAAGGACTCGTCCAATCTGCACACCGGGATCCAGACTCTCAGAGACACTGAATTTGTAAGACGAATTGTCGAACCTAGGCCAGACGTCATTGAGGTCCTGGACTCGAACCACGACCGTCGCCGTCGCTGTCAAGGGCTGCGGACTCACGTCAAAGGCGTAGATTTCAAACCTGTACGTGTCCGTCGTTTCGCGGTCCAAGTTTTTCACCCTGGTGTAGATGAACCCATTCAGCTCGTTCACGTCAAACTCAGCTATACCTGGCTCCAGGGAATATCTGAGCTCTCCGTTGACGCCCTCGTCGAGATCTGTGGCTAATACGCTGCCGACCAGTTCTCCAATTTCCTGATTCTCCTTAACTTCCATTTCGTAGATAGTTCTACTGAACTCGGGTTCGTGGTCGTTCACGTCTTCTACAATGACTGACAGCTCCGCACGGCTGAAAAGGGGTGGGGTCCCATAATCAGTGCACGAAACCTCTACTTTCAGACTAGCGTCGCTTTCCCGGTTGAGCGGACGCGACACAGAGACAGTGTAGGCGCCTGGCGTGTTGGGGTCGGCCTGGAGAGAAAAATACTCGCTCGTCGCAGAGCAGGAAGTCCGGCCGTTTTCGCCCGAATCCGAGTCGGTGACGTCGACGAGGGCGACTCTCGTGTCCAGCGAGGCGTCCTCAGCAACCAGAGCTCCGCCCTCAGCGCCACCTGCCGGCCGCAGCGGGATGACGGAGATGCTGGGAGGGTCGTTCACCGTGTCCTCAACATCGATTCGAACCTCAACCTCCGACGACAGTGACGGGAGACCGTGGTCATAGGCTTTCACGCGGAAACTGAAAACTGACCCGCCCTCTTTTACCAAGCTTTTCAAAAGTTTGAGAGCGCCGCTGCTTTGGTCTATCGCGAAGTAGCTTCGGACAGTACGATCGATATCGTTCGGGAATTCAAAACTCACCCTAGCATTCTCGCCCTTGTCTGCGTCAGTCGCAGAAACCGTGAGAACAGTAGAGTTGACAGCAGTGCTTTCTTTGACTTTCTTTGTGTAATGATCTTCTGTGAATTCGGGTTCATTATCATTCTCGTCGGCGACGACAATTTCGATGGGTAGTGTGCCCCTCTGATCAGGACCGTCCCCGTCTTTAGCCACCAGCACTAAGGAGAACGAGCTCGTAACCTCTCGGTTCAGCCCTCGCAAAAGCCTCAGAGAAACGTCGAAATCACTGCTCCCGTCAGGCCGGTCTGTCTTCTGTACCACCAGATCGAAAGTCCTCTGCGTTCTGGGCTCTAAGTGGTAGCCTTGCACTCGGAACAGCGGTTCGTAGTCCGCGTCCTCGGCCACGGGGAGCCTGATCATCGTGCTGTTAGGGGCGGCAGACTCGGATAAAGGCTTCGAGAACATTCTCTGGCTAAAACGGGGGCGTTGATCGTTGGCATCCATGACGACCACCTCCACGTTGTAACGCTGGAAGAAGTTGTCAGATGACGCCGCTACGGAAGTGCTGACGACACAGCGTGGGACAGACCCGCACAGCTGTTCTCGATCCAGTACAGAACGAGTGTAGAAATCTCCAGAAGTTTCATCCACTTCAAAACGATCTCTTTCGCTGACCAGTGAGTATCTGAGTCCTGGGATGTTGGAGATGTTGGCACGTGACCCGATGTTGCCCAGCAGCAGTCTGTGACCCTGCTCTTCCTGCACCTCCAGAATTATCTGACTCTCGCCACTCAGAACCAGGATCGCTAGCAGAGAGAAGAAAAGACAAACTGAGGCAGCTTTGGGCGCCATCTTGGCAAATGGGGTCGTTACCGGTTTATGAGAAGTGGACAAAGCGTCTGTCACAAACGTGTCGCTGTAGCTATCTTGGTACCATCTCAGAGCCCTCAAGACATCTGCAAGGAGAGAAAATCGAAACTGATAAATACGCACCGAATACATTCATTTTTGAAACGCTCATTATAACTGAATATGGCTTTTTAAAAAATAATCTGAATATGACTTAGAACAAATTAGATTGACTAAAGAAAAGCATATTGATCGGTACACCTCGGATATACTAAAGCTTGTTACCGTCAAAAGCTTTAACAAATGTTTTCGCTTTGTAAAAACACCGACGAAGCTTACAAAATGCTATATTATTATTAAGTTTGATCCAAGACAAAGTGTTACTAAGTCCTAGTTCTCTCTCGTGTGCTACACTACACGTAGAGCGCGGAAATGAAGGAAAATGCAATTAGGAAGAAGAAAAATGATTTGCTAACGGAGCTACCATGATATATGGGTTGGAATAATGATTAGTCAAAACCGGCGAGCTATCCTCTCATGCAGCTGTAAAATCCAAGAGCATTCTTCGTTTCTCGCTCATCCAAGATAAGCATCTATAGAGTGCATTCAGGACAAGAGAGCCCAATAATAATAATAATAATAATATAGTTCTTACGAAATGCGCCTTTGAAAACTAGAAGTAGGGGGAAAAAACAACAACACAAGAGTACCCTTATTCATCGACCTCCCTTTGGATAATACGAATCCGATGCACACAGGCGTGGAATATGAAACCGTAATCCATAGCCAGTGACAATAAACGTTCTATACAAAGCATTCATATCCGCGACAAAATTATTTCTGAGGTAAGAATCAATCTCGAACCACACCGGGTATGATATAGTCGAGTAGGGGAAAAACTAATACACCGACAGATTATTATAGCCTAGAGTAATACACCAAAGACTCTTACGACAACACAGATCAGCATCTCGGATATCGCAAGTGATTTATGGTTGGCTGAGTCATGAACAGCTCACGCCTAATGCTTATGACAATGGTATTTTTCAAATAATAGATTCTGGGATTTTGCAAAGAGGGGAAAGTGAACAAACGTGTGCATGCTTGCTAAATCTCAGAATATGATAATTATCATGTATTACTTTTTAATTAATTGTTGTAAGTAGAGACTAAAAAATTACAATTAGATTGATGTTTTTCCACCTTCACGGGTGACACGTTGTTTAGTGGTATTTAAAGGGTGCACGATATAGTTTGAGCATTACTGCAATTTCCATTAAACGAATAGGGAAAAAGACATAGAGACAGAAACATATGGAAAAAGCATAGAAAGTACAAGTGGCACCCTCCAACCACACATACAGGTCCGCCCAGGGAGTGAGTGAGGGGAGAAAGTTGGGG